GCAGCAGCATGTTCAGTCAGCAGTGATGATGCAATTGTCATTGGCATTATTATGGTGACATCACTCCCACCCAGCCATTCCACTTTATATGACTCAAGCTTGCCTCGGATAAACTGTTTAACCGACACCAGGACGATGTTCTCCGCTTTCAATACCGGATATATGACATGCTCATTTTCCCCGGCTTTGTTTTACAACTCTAAAATAAGTTTCCATGTTAATCCTTCAGATGAATACCAAAGAAAACAAAGCAAGGTGTTATGTATATATACGGACGAACGAGGTTCATATCTGCAATGGACTTGTTGATGCCAAAGTGAAGGTTATGAAGCAACCCATACATACATTGCTGGATATTCCATTTCTCCCGATGTGCCACCGGGTTGGGTGAACTGCTCATCTTGTGATCTCTCTCCTTTTGATAGAGATGAAAATATTCCTATTGTTAACTATTGTCTAGCATACTACTCATTCGAACACCGGATAGTTGATCAGGCAGTGCTCCTTTCTCTTACCCTGTGCTTCCAATCTTTTCAGTCTACATTTTATTTGCTCTTTATGTGACGAAATTCACCAACTCCATCACTAAAGTTAAATAAGGCTGTTCATCTGTTATCGACCATGGGGAACATATCTTGATACTTTAACACAGCGATGTAACATTCCAAATTCCCCCGGGGCTATCGTTTGGCCATTTGTATGACTCTGAGTTGCACCAATGTTGACAATCATCTCTGGAAGCTGTCTGAATTCGCACTGTAAACAGTCTGTTTTGAAATGTCATGCAATTTTGTCACAGAGCTCGGAGTTACTCTAGACTGATTCGTTTCTCCACTCTAGGTTGGTTAGTGAACATGGTCTTGTGAAACCAGATCACCTTGAATTGATGAATTCTGCGTGTTTTGCTGAAAACCCCGCATGAAATGAGTGACCGGCTTCACGTGCGCATCACACTGTTGGTGTGACGTCAGCACGGCATTCTTTTGGTTGGTGGATGAAGCATAAATCGGTGAACAAACAATTAAAAAGATACCAGAGAGTACGATAAACTGCAGAGGAGATAGGGCATATCCAGAACCTGTTACGTTTCATAAACGTTTCACCTGACGGTTTGGAAGCACACGAGAAACAGATGTATTATCGTGTATTCTCACCAGTTCAGTAGAGGCATGTCAGTCAATTGATCGTGAATCAGTTGTTTTCACCCCTAGCGGCCAAAGCGGTCACAAAATAGTGACTGTTGAGGTAATCAACAGACGACCGCTGGGTCTGATTTACGTTCAACATACAACTGATGCGGACCAAGTGCAACCAAAGTAGTGACATAAACTAGCAAAATCGAATATTACACTTCCTCATTTTCTCGGTGTCACCTGAGTCTTCTTTGAATGAGTTTGTCGCTTACTCTCTCTCTATCTCAAACCATAGGATTCCCACTGGACATATTCAACCTTCGTCACTGACAGGAACACATACACGATGACGTTCCGGTGAATGTATGACATTTTTGGCCAATTCTAATACGGTGGGATAACATACCAAGTTCGATGAACGAAAACAGCTGTTACTCGGTGCATCCGATTTTCGTCATTTTGAACGAGTATGTTCTGCATCATCAATGCTTCCAATTGTTTTCTTTCTCCACCAAATAAATGAAATTTTCAACGTACATCCAATGCAACAAATCAATGTTATAAGCAACCTGCGGATCCATGAAAAAGTCCTCTCGATTTGTGCTCCTTCGATTTCATTGCGAGAGAATCCATATCGATCAGTATTAGGAACAGGCAAGTTTATTTCCATTGGAAGACAAGTCATGAGATTACAATTAGAACATTTGCATAAAATTACTCCTCTCGTTCAGGGAAACTTTGAATAAAAACTGTCTCCATTCTTGAATATTCATAACTTTGAGGACCTATGTGTATAAATGCGATGTTCTGTCAATTCATGGATGCGTTTCCTCTGACCGAATATTCGGAAAATTTCACTGCTCTTTATTTGTCCCCGTTGTTGAATTTTGTTAAATCAATTCGTTGCTCATATGTGTGTGCAATAGTTGGCCCAAATATCCCCGTG